GGAGTACAGAGAAGTTTTCACAATGTTTCATACCCAACACACTGTAGCATTTCTTAAACTTCTACCAATACCAATGATGGGACTCTTGTGATTAATGTTGAGCTACAGTATCTAGAACACTGCAAGGCCAAGTCAGCAAAAGAAGTGCCAAGGACTGTGTAATATCAATTACACACGGCTTTTATGACACAAAGGATTGTGCAATCCCTCTAATCAAAGTCAGTTTCTGCTAGTATTCCACAGATTCTGTAACTTGCTGCCTGCAATAATGGAAAATAGCATGACTAAGTGAAAATAGCCGGAATGTTCCTCCAAGATTCTTATTGTTTCCAAGGAAGTCTCCCCCAAAAACAAGGACGGTGGTTTTCAATAAATGCCACAATGCTTGTGCCTCAACAGTTAATAAAGGATGCAGTAGCACCACTGTCACTTTTCTGAATTTTAGTGCACCTCTGTGTACTAAATATGTACATAATTCTGATTCTCGTTACAGTGTGCCTTGGAACATCTTGTAGAAATACCCGTTAGTGAAGAAACCATAATGAGAAACAGAAATAATGCAGACACAAGGCAATTCATTTCAAGGTAAATAAATAGGCTGTTACAACAAAATATCCGGTTTACACTTCAACAACACCTCCATACATGTGGCAATTATTTTAGGGCTTAAATTTTCAGAGGGTGTTTTTTTCGACAATAATCAAACAAGTCACATTTTACACAAGGCTGCTAAATGCAGTTTTCTGAAAAGACGGTTCTGGAGTGTCTCCGTGTATATTTATTTTTTGTCAAGGGCTAAAGCTACTTAAGAGAGGCCACACTGCCACAAAAACAAGGGCTTGCACAGAACATCACAGCAGCCAGCTCAGTCATTAGCAGCAAAACTGCAGAATAAAGTCAGTCATTCATAACTACAGTACCTCCCAGTCCAGTCTCCTCCCCACTATGACCTTCAGCATGGAATACAAATTGGTACTACAAATAGTTGAGACAGCTCAGAGTTTGACTTTGTCTAAATTATATTGCTTTTATTTACCAAAATGATTAAAAGTTGGTCTTGTTCTAATGTCAATGTATTTCACTGACCTGAACTTTTTAGCTACACTGGACACCACACCATGAGATACTTCACTGGTCTAAACCATTTTACATTTAGGTATTTACAATTCAGTCTCACAGTACGCCACCATTTGTCAGTGCTGTGAAAAAGCAGTCTAAACAAACTACATTAGATAACAGATCTTAATGAAATGAGTTAAATTGCTTAATAAAAGCATTATTTTTTGTTCTTTCAAACATCTGTGTAGCTTCAATACTGTGTCTAAATGTTTTATCAACCGTTCTGCATCACAAGGCCCAGGTCAAATCAAAGTTTCAACCCACCTATAATCTGCACCGTGTGAACCCACATCAGATTTCCATTTGAAAGAGGTCTGTTCTATCCAAAGGAAATCTACCATTAAACAATGGAATTAAGTAATTAGTGGGAGATGTGTGGGCCGAAATGTGAGTTTGGGTTGAAGTTACACAATACTACACCAACACACAAAACAATTCTGTGCAGGACAAAGGCCAACAATAAGATCATGTTTAGTCTATAAAATGGAAACTATTTCCCTAATAATTTATTTTATGCATTACATATTTGAGTAACATCCAACACAACACAGCTACAATCCACTGACTAAAAACAGTCAAAGAATTTACTTGCTGATGCGAGATGCACAAATGGTATCTTTTCAATGAGGGAATAGCACTACTGTTTATTTTCTGAACTGCACAAGTAGGTCATTCTAGATTCCTTGCATCAGTACTGTACAAATACCATTAATGATTCAGCCACAGTTTAACTCCTTAACTCTTTAAACTTTTTCTCTTCTGGACATCCCAGGACAATTAATCTTTCTCTGCTAAATATTTTAACACAAATGTTTAGCTTAAAGAAGAGGCAGAGACTTCACTCAAACACTCTGACTCACTCAAACGCTGCTCTCCACACTGTGTCACTCTGGTAGCACTAAAAGCAGGTGATCCATCTCTGCAGGAACAGTTCCATACCTGACAGAGGTGTTAGTTTGCAGTAAGCCATGAACAGGACATTAATGAGAACTGATGACTTTTGTAGTTAAATGATGCGACATTAGCATAACCAATTTTCATTTCAGAGTCTGTTTACCACATAAAAGGGCTATCCACAGTCTTTAGGCTTCTAAAGCCCAGGAACTACTGCATCCTTATATTCTTGGCAGTGTCAGAAGACTACTGATAGAGAAGATCGTTAGTTTGTACAAACTGCACAAAACTCAGGGACGGTAAAGAAACTGTCACTGCCTTTTCAGCTCACACGGATCACAGTAAGAATGCAGACATACAATGAATCTTTTAGATCAAATGTTTGTGCTGGCCTATTTGGATAAACTGAGCAGTAGCTCTTTCCATTTTTAATTAAACCAAAGTGTGGTCATCTAACAAAAAGTGTTAACCCATGACAAAATGAGAAAACTATTATACTGTTCCAAAGAGGTGTTTGGGCACTAAACCCCAATACATAAGCAGCACATGTACATGCCGATGTCCATGAGAAATGTCTCTCTACAGTGCTTTGTGCTTTTTGTTCACGGTAACCACTTCTCAATCAGTGTAAGGTTAGATAGGACTGCACCCTCCTGTATAAGCTCCTAACTTGAACTTGAACTTTATTGCCATATGTAACCGGTACTGGTATAATTGAATTCTTACTTACAGAAGTCTCTCGATTGTAAAACAACTGTAAAAAACAAAACAAAGTGCAAACAGTGCATCAAGACAATGTACAAACAAACAATAGACAATGTGCAAGTAAACATGTAGACAGTTTGAATGTAAACAATACAGACGTGTAAACAATGACTGGAGATGTGCAATAGATAAGAAATCATAAAGAGGTAGACAGTGATGGTGTAGATGTGGTCCGAGGGGGATGGCTAAATGTGTTCGCCAGTCTCACTGCTTGTGGATAGAAGCTATTGAAGAATCTAGTGGTAAGTGTCCGTATGCTCTTATATCTCTTGCCTGAGGGCAGTGGGGTGAACAGCTCATGCTCAGGGTGGTGACTGTCCTCTGTGATGGCCAGAATTCTACCACGGCAGCGGTCCTCATAGAGCTGTTTAATCTCGGTGAGACCGCAGCCGATGATCTTCTGGGCCATATTGACCATTCTCTGCAGTGCCTTTCTTTCTCGCGAAGAGGTGTTGCCATACCACACGGTGATCCCGTTGGTGAGGATGCTCTCGATGGTGCAGCGGTAGAAGTTCACCAACACATGTATTGGCATTCCCCATCGCTTGAGGCACCTCAATAAATAAAGGCGCTGCTGAGCCTTCTTCATGATAGAGTCAGTGTTCACAGTCCAGGTTAGATCTTTAGAGATCTACCTTTTACCATCACAGATCAATCACAAAATATGAAACCCTGTGAGAACGTGTGGGCTCTCTGACTGATCCCTGCTGATGTTTTCAATTCTGGTAAAACCATGCTGAGTAAAATATCTGTAGCAAAACATGCCTGTCAAATAAAAAAGAAAAAAACTCAACAGGTTCTGGAAACAAATTAGTACATATTTATTTTCTTTAATTCCCAGCTTAATTACATTTATCTGCAGCACAAAACAGCATTCCAACAAACAGTAATACTGTTCACAGTATTTAGTATTGTAAAAGCATATCCATAGACTGCATGTGGATAGTGTAAAGCACACAGACAGATCTACAGAACAAAAATACCTCTAATTTCAGTGAGAAGACTGTAGACAAGGTGGGTCTGTGAGGAGCAGTAGACTCAGCTGAATGACTCAATGGAAGCTAAACTGAATGGAAACTCATTAAATGAGAAGGCAATGTTTAATTCAGGTGTTAGGCACAGCGTGGCCAAAGACAGATTATACGAACAGGCTCAAAGAGATTTCTTTTCCCATGAAAAGTGAATATACACCACTAAATCCATTCTATGAGAAATAAAAAAAGTCTAGTTTAAAAACCATATGGCCCCATTTAAGACAACTTGTTCGAGACTACCTAGACTCTGGCCTCCTTCAATAATACAGCGTTCAGAACTCTGAATAGACTCATAAAGTCATGTCATGATTCTAATCTATGAAACACTGACAGCTGGAAGAAAAACTGAAGTGCCCAGGATTTTCTGAGGCCTTCATGTTCGGAATCACGGATCGCGAGTGACTGAATGGATCGGGTGCGTTTTCCAGATGCTGCTCTCAGAAGAGAACACTTCACGCACTCCACTGACACGCCCCCTGCCGCAGAGCCACCTGGTCACCCACCAGGTGAGCCAGGCGCCCACCCGGTCCCAGGACAAGCCACAGTGCCTGGGCTGACTGACCCCAGAAGGGGTCTGCCAGTGCTCCACCACTGCCTGGGGAATCCTCGACAGTAGGCAAGAGACACGAGCAAGGCTCAGATTAGCCACTGCTAATTACTGGCTACTCAGATTACTCTTCAGAAACCTTCTATCAAGAGGGCTTCCCAAGCCTGCCATTCTTCATGCAGAGTACAGCCAATGGAAGCACGGAGGTGTAGAAGAGGACAGAAATCCTGATGGAAATCCCATCTTGTGTGCATGCCGAATGGAAGTTTGGAAGTGACTAACAATTTGTTTCTGCGATTAAGGGTCCATAAAGTGAAACAGGCAGGGCTTCTCATCATGGCACCAGTAGCTCTTTACTATTTTTAATAAGCCTATCTGGTTACAGCATGCTCTTTCCATGGTCACTGCCCTCTTGTAGTGTAAAACAAACCTCACAGGCCCGTTAGCCTCTCTTGACAGATACAATCTCATTTGGACATTCCTTTCCAAGGCTGTGGCCAATATTAGAGTGGGGTCTTAGCAGATGCACCCCCCCTCCCTACCCCGAGTGTGGTGGTTCATGAATTGCCCGCAACCCCCGAACTCAAGAGCCCCCTCGGCCCAGAGGAGAAGCCCAAAGCCGGCCCAGCATTGCTACTCACCCGGGTTGTTGGCTTCGCCCTCCAGCACATGGAGCTCGGTGCATTCCGCCAGAGAGTGCTCCAGGCAGAGCTGCAGGAATCGCGCCTGAGTCCTGCTCACGCGCTTCAGCAGCGACAGGAGGGCCACCGTCTGCTCGCATTCATTCCACCCCTTAAACCAGCCGGCCAGCACTCCGACCTGGTCGCGAAACATCATGGTTTAGATGGGACACCAATGAGACTCTGAAACTGCGTGCTCGGCGTCTTGGCTTCACAAATTCCAACTTCGTTCTGCTGTGTTTGTGTATTTCGCGTCCGTGTAATTTCCGAGTTTAGCCTTCCTACGCCGCTTCCAAACCCGCGGTGGCTTTTGCATGAAAGATATTTCTTACAAAAATCTCCAAATGAAGTAGTATTTTCATGTCCTTCTGCTTCTTCTGTCGAACCATTAAAGGATAAGAAGATCTTAGGGCAAAAATGTGTGGCGTTTTTTTTTTTGCTTAATACCCCTTCGGCCCACTAATTCTGTGGTGATGAGAAGCTGAACTTTTGTCTCCTTTGCCTGTTGGACCGGCTTTTCCTTATTCACATTTCCCAGGGGGGCAGTTTATATCTGCAAAGAAAATAAAATGATTAGGATATCACAAACTAACAACACACCCTAGTGTTATAAGCTTATAAAAAGTAGACTGGCAGCAAGACTGAAAGATAAATATACTGCACACAAACACGATACTCGAATTAATACGTACACACAGAATCACAATCGGGCACGAAAGACAATCCTTGTAACGTCCAAAAACGCATACTGTACAAACAGTAATCCCTGCTGCACGTTACGAAAGCAAAGGGAATGCGGCATTGTCCCTGTTGCTTCAGCCAGCAAACCGACTCTCTGCAGACTTTGATTAACGTGGGAGGAAAAAATAGACTGGTTATAAAAAGAAACCACGCTACGTTAAAAAAAGAAAAGACACTCAAGTCCACATCGACCCAGCATTAGAAAGCCATGCACTTAACGGGGTTCCACTCCGGCGAACCCCCATTCTGGACAGCGAGAGACCCCCCCTTGGATGCGGGCCCGAGACGTACTGCACTGAGGCAAAAATAAACTACATACATCCACCCAGTCCTTAAAATACAGTCATCGGGAGTAACCGGCGCATTATTTCTGGGTGGAATCTTCCCCCATCCAAACTGTCTCCCCTTGCCGTGTTATTGTTATTTTAATGGAGGGGCTCCGACACAACCAACACCCAAAAGTACAATCCGCCCCCCGGTTTTGGCCCCGTTTTGAGTGGCTATTATTTTAAGTATCGGAAAGCTCCGCGTCCTCGTCAAGTCGCTTCCGAGACCATTTTCATTCGTAAAACCCAGTCTCTCTTCCACACAGATTCATGTCAAAACCACAAACGCCCCCAAACGACTGCAAAGGAGTTTCTGTCTTCTCCTCATACACTGATAATCATAATCCCAGAGAAATGGAGGGTTTAGCTCTCAACGTGGAAGTGGTCATATTAATTATACTTCTGCTGATAAGTACAGATACTGCTCCCCACAGTGTGTACACTATTAAAATTATTCTGCAATCATGAAAAAACACACTTAGGCATTCCGTAGTTTTCACTTCAGTGCTGTTCACCAAATTTACACACACATTATATCCCTGTGCCTACGAACAAGCTGACATGTAGCAAGTATTACCAACTTTGCATTATTACACAATTACTAATAGTTATATTTCTAGTGCTCAAAGACGACGACATGAAAAACGGTTGTAGAGCACCAAAAAAAATAAATTTGTTCTGTAGCCCAAGTGTAATTAAAAAAGTTCAAACAATAGAATCTGAGACCTATTATACCGCGAAAAGCGTAGATACAAATTGCTACCAAAAAATCCAGTTTATTTTTTGTTTTACTCACTTAGCTGCACAGCTGCATCGGTGGTGCTGATCATTAAAACGGGGCGCAACAGATTTGGGGAACGGTGCCCCTTCACTCCGGATCTGTGTGTTTTGCCATCTTGACTAACTTTCCTCCCCTCTGCTACTCTAGTTTAACCGGAGGAGAGAGACCTCAGCATTGCTTCCCACATGCTAATAATTAACACGAAGCATTACGTCAGGGGCTTGGCAGCAGTAGGAAGCACAAAAATAGAGAATGGAGTTAGGGACGGATCACATTGCCTATCCTACGGAGAGGACTGACGCGGATTAGCAAGTCAGAAAAAAGGGTTTCCATAGCAAAGTGTACAAAATCAAAACAAGAGTATGTGTGAATGGAGGGTGGGCACTAAACTCGGAAGGCGAAGGAATCTACGCTAAACACAGAAAGTATATTATCTGATTATTGTGCTGTCAGGTATTTTACATAATCTGAATACTTGTATTTCTGCATTTTTTATAACGTATTTTCTGAATTTATTTTTAAATTATATGCAAACACATCTGTAATGGTTTGACAAAAGCGACTTCGCTATGCCCCAATTCAACTTTCTTCAAGTATTTATTTTTTTCATACTGCGCCTTTTTTGCAAACTCAAGTTCACAGTGCCGCATTCTTCACAACAGAGGGCAGCCCACTGTTTTACAAACGACTCTTGGATTCTTAAAATGAACATAATGAAATGAATTTTTCCATTTCCACACCAAAATCACCTCAAATGCTCAGTGTAATCTCAATTAATTATTTTTACTGCAGATACATGTAATTATTAACCAACGCAGACTAGACTTAATCCCATTTAAAAGGATGAATCTTCTATGTATATATTTAAAACCGTAATCTTTAAACGGTTCGCGTTTGAATGCATCTTGTTTAAATGATAAATATGACAAAACAAATCACAAATGCCTGAATTTTTGATACATTAGGAAAATTTAAAAATGATACAAAGATATATGGCATTTCCAGGGTAAGAGCTGTATCAGACACGTTTTATCTAAAACATACTAATGAACTGCATCTTGTGTGCAGATCATAAATAAAGTAATTCAGAGCAATGAAGCATAAAAACATGCTTGTTTCATTCAGACTGTCTCGGAGGAAAAGAAGAAACTTGATGAATCGACACTTCACGTTTTGGGTATAAAACCAATACCACAGTAGTAAAGTTTTCTACACAGATAGTTACTATTTGATCCCAAACGCCTAAGGATGAAGCAGATTAAGGCATGCACAAGAAAAAAAAAAACTTTTCCATGTCCTTAGCACACAGCAGACATCAGTCTTCAGTATGAGATGGGATAGCTGGTGAAAGCTAACACTGGTACAGATGCACCAGAAACAGATCAATTAGCTAGCTATTGTCTCACAGTGAAGGCCTTGTGCCTGACACAATGAGTCCTTATAGGCCTTATCTGAGCGCACTCAGTATCAGCTCATACTGGAAAAGGAAAAAATGTTCTGGGGTTCCTATCAGAGATGATTCACAAAGGCCGTCTACAGGCCAGATAAAGCCACACCACTCTGGATACAAATCCCATTTTACCCCATCTTTCTTCAAGAGCCCAGTGTAGCCAGACCCAGGCAGAACTTCAGTGGAATCCATCCATAGGAAATAAATGCGACTTAAGTATATGAGGAAATGGTGAGATAACCTTGATTTTCCCGGAAAACCCTCTCTTGGTTTAGATTCAGAGAAAACCTTGTAATTGACCTGGGGATTATAACTAACCCTTATGGCAGTTATAAAAGCAGTCTCTCTCCGCATACCAGTGGAAACCATACTGGTATAAAAGGATCGGCCAAATGAGAGAAATCTAAAAACACTTAAAACTGTTCACCAAAGAAAAACACATAGTCAATCATCAATACTTTATCTCTATTACCAAAATAGATAGCAGATAGTTGTTAGTTGGAACAACTGGTTGAACTATTTTCTTGTGCTTTTTACTGGCTTCTGCATGGCAGTAAAATGATCAATTTATCAATTGTAAACATCCATTTAATGGACAGGAAAGACAAGGCTTTTCAGTCCTAGTCATTCTGGTGCCACCCTTAGGTGTTTTTTGTTCCAGCTGAGCTGTATTACTAACTGAACTATTTAGTTAAGTAGAAATTTTTATACTGGCCTCCTCCGTGGACTGGTGTCCAGTTCAGGGTGTGCTCTGCCTCGAACCTGCTGTTTGCCAGGATAGGCTCCGGTGCTCCCAGCAACCCTGAATTGGGTGAACCTGTTTGAAAGTGAATGGATGGATGTACTAGCCTCATGTCCAGAGTGTACCCTGCCAAAACCCGCTGTCGACTTGGCTTGTATTGCGCCAAGCAGTTACTGAAAATGAACAGATGGATGAAATCTTTGTTTCAGATCCAAACTGTTTGATTTCAAGCTAATATCCATATTTATAACCACAGGTGCCAGTAAGGTGTAATCTGTAACCTTTTAGGAGCTAAAACAGTTCCAATTAAGCCAAGTATCATAATTAAAGCTCGCATAAGAACTGAGATCTTGACCGGTAAGAAAAACAGCAGATTAAACCACCAGTTCTGGGAGACCCTGCTTCTGCTCGAAGAGTTAAGAATAAAGACGAAACAACATCTTGGTTTTCCAATGGGGAACTATTCACTATTTTCTCTAGTACTCAAAGACTGCAGACATGACTTAGACAATAAAATATCTCTGTTCAATAGAAAGTACCTGGCATTCATATCTAGAAAGGTTGAAGATTTAACATGCATAAACAGTATATATATAAAGGGTTTAGCCCAAATATTTTTACCCAGCCCAGATCCTCTTACAGGTGAACCCTGTTCTAATGCCTAGATCAAACATCTCAGAGCTTGACAAAGAAACCTCCATTTCAACCTAGTTAAGTTTGATTACTGATGCTGTAAGAAGTAAATTTGCACATTTTCAATTTTAAAAGTATAAATGTCAAAATAAGTTATGCAATCATCAACAGTGATTGTAATATGCACATTCAATATGGTAACCATGCTTTTAAGTTCATTACCAATAACATCTACTCACATGCAGATTGTAAAGCACCTTGTTTAGTGACAGTTTAGTTCACTTAAGAAGTGAACTGTTTAAGAACAACATTGCACATTTTGTTGACTCCATTCTCCACCTAGTGGAATCAAAATGAAACGTCTGCAAAAACAGAACGAACAGCACTATGAGGCTCATGGTTGGCATACTGAGGCAGCCTCCATCATTTAAAGATCTTTATAAAATATAGTTTGTTAAAATATTACAATAACATCTCTTTTACGTTTATCGAAATGCTCTTTCATCCTAGTAAGAGGCTGTGAAGATTTCTAAATTAAGATATAGGCTATAAAAACCTCTAGAACTCCATGGATTATTAACAGTTTACTAGAGTAAATGTTACCTAAACATTGGAAAAACCCACACCTTACATGTATACATAAAACACACTGTTTCTTACATTTAATAAGTCAGGGAATAACTTTTGGAGATGGGGAGTGTTGATATGAAGTCTGTAACTGTGAACTAGCAGTCTGGCATGTCAATGACCTCTCCATTTATTGAGTTAGGAAGGAAAGAATGTTGTGTTCTGCAAAAGCTCTTTATGCAAAAGCTGACAATTATCAAAAGGTGAAAAGGTGAAACCCAAGTAATGCATTTATGTCTCCGTGCTTCTTACAGATTCAAAAACAGATTTTATGTCTCATTTTCAATTAAGAAAAACAATAATAATTAGCTCTACAAAATATCCACGATAAGCCATAATAATTAGCCATATCAGTTCAATAAAAATGCTTTTTTTTTTCTCCAATTTTTGGACTGATAGGCTGAAGGAATAAAACCTTTTTAGTCCTGATCAGAGACGATTATGAGCAGACCTGATACAAAAAAATCAAAATGTCCAAAGTCCACCCAATAGATTTCTTCACAGTGAACAGAGAAACAAGGTAAAAATCTTGAGATACATAAACATTTAAATTTAACATGTGGGTATGAAGTGCTTAAAATAAATAATACATTAGAGTAAGATATATTTTTCTGTATGAATATGACTATATGAAGTCTGTAAAAGCAGGAAGCTATTTTGGCATTTCGATTTTGCAGTTTTATAAGAATCTCATAATTTGTAAGAATGTGAGGGGCTGTGGGAATTCAAGACTCTTATAACTAAGCACCGCCAACAGACAGATATTAGGCTTTCTTTCTATCCTCGACTTTTATTTGTAGTTTTCAAAATGTACTTTTGCTTACAATTACAATAACACATTCCAACCATAACAACTTTCCCAAAATAAAACATAAAGTGGCTTAAGTGATAACAGGAACATTTTCTCACAAACATGATGTTTGGATATTTTTTCAGCTATTATGCTTAAAAATTGCAGGCACCCATGCCAGTGATCATCTTCATTTATGTCACACTGACAATCTAGAAAGCAAAAGATTGTTCAGGGCTTTCTTTTGGTTTTGTTAATACTGACAACTCAGAAATACAGTCAGATATTAGATTTTGTGAAGATCTGAATCATTTGCTAAATAATAAATTACAGTTGAACAAAGAAAAAGCAATATAAATATTATATTTATAATAATTTACATAAATAGAAAGATATTATTTCTATTTTTATCATAGATTATCTTTCTTTGTATTAAATGGTACTTCAGTGTTGGCAAGATTTGTTCTTCAAGTGATGTATCTGGTCATTTGAAAACACATTTATCTATAATTTTGTTTTGACATCTTATATTTTTAAATACATCCAGTAAGGCTAAATTGGGCTCATTAATATACATTTTCTATTCTGTGGCTGAAGGGACTTAGGAGATTTTGTCAATTAAGAAACAGACTGGTAACAAATCAGTTTCTATGCCATTGGCATACTGTAGAAAAAAAGATCCTAGTTCACAACAGGCAGAGTTTAAAAGCACTCCTGCAGCCACATGAGCACACTTGTAACTGGAAGGTGGTTCAAAAACACTTTGAGGGGGGTTCAAACCCCAGGAGAGACACTGCTTTCGTACCCTTGAGAATGGTACTTCATTGAAATTGGTCCAGTAAAACAGCCAGCTGTACAAATGGGTAAAAACATAATAAATTAGTCTCCCTGTATGTCCTCCAGCTTCTCTGTGAGAATTCCATTCCTCCATTTTCAGCAGATGCTTGATTCAATACAGAGCTGTGGAGAGACGGCCGTACCCAGCAGACAATGGGCACGAGGCAGGATACACCCTGGGCAGGACACTCACATGCTCTCAGGCATACATGTGGAGGGGAAATTTAGAAACGGTTATTGACCTAGATGGCATATTTTTGGACTATGGAAAAAAGCCCTTGCAGGCATGTGGAGAATGCGGATTTCCACACAGAAGGCGCTCCAGGCCAGAAACCACCTACGACCACCATTCCACTGCACAACCTCTTTGTGAGAGGTCATTAAAAGAAGTACATTTTCAGCTTACGGTGCTCTTTTTTTCCCATTGAATGGGATACACAGAATCCAAAGAAACAGCTGCATGGACTGGGGACGTATTTTCTTTCTCAGAAATCCATTCTCTTGCTGTATTCTTCCTTAGAATAAAGTGAAATTACGCCGAGACAGCTGAAGCTGCCCCACCATCGTCCTGGAGGCTGTGCCCGTCAGCGAGCAGCCCGGGTCCTGCCACGGCTCCCTCTCGCTGGCCTGTGGCGAGGCGGGGAGAAAGGGCAAAGGACTCCAGCACGAAGGTGCGACACATGGGGCAGTGGCGGAACCGCGCGACACAGGCGTCGCAGACGCAGGCGTGTCGGCAGGGCAGCAGCACGCGGTTCACAGGGGCGCACTGGCAGACCACGCAGTCCCGCGCCACCCCCCGCTCGGCTTCCTCCCCCTGTTCCCCCTCCTCACCGCTGGGCCCGGGTTCCGTCTCCCTGGACCAGTCCCTGCCGTCCGCAGACATAAAGAGCTGCTGAGATAGAAAACAACAGCAGACCACTCAAAGACAAACCCAGAACCCAGAACACGTTTTAACTCTCAGGGCTGAGGTTTGCTTTAACCATATTTTCTTATACAGTTCTATGAAACAAAATAAATAATAATAATTAATAATTGCACTTATATAGCGATTTTCTGGACATTCAAAGCATTTAAGGTAATGGGGATTCCCCTCCACCACCACCAGTGTGCAGCATCCACCTGGATGATGCGACGGCAGCCATAGTGCGCCAGAACGCTCACCACACATCAGCTCTCAGTGGGGAGGAGAGCAGAGTAATGAAGCCAATTCATAGAGGGGGATTATTAGGAGGCCATGATTGGTAAGGGCCAATGGGGAAATTTGGCCAGGACGCCGGGGTAACACCCCTACTCTTTTTGAGAAGCGCACTGGGATTTTTAATGATCACAGAGAGTCAGGACCTCGGTTTTACGTCTCATCCGAAGGACGGCGCCTGTTTACAGTATAGTGTCCCCGTCACTATACTGGGGCATTAGGACCCACATGGACCTCTGTGCCCCCTGCTGGCCCCACTAACACCTCTTCCAGCAGAAACCTTAGTTTTACCCAGGAGGTCTCCCATCCAGGTTCTGACCAGGCTCAACTCTGCTTAGCTTCAATGGGCTGCCAGTTGTGAGTTGCAGGGTGATATGGCAGCTTCATAAAGCTTATGCAGTCTTACAGTACAGACTTAGAGTCTTTTTTAACCCCACCTAACACATTATCCCCAATGGGGCCAAGCTAGCAGAGTAGAAACGGACTATACCTTTAGATCATACATGTGCCCCTGTGCTGTCAGAATGTATTGATACAAAATCCGTGATGACAGTCTGTATTTTTCATCAGGAATGTGAATCACAGTCAAATTGGCAACCTGAAAGTAAAAAAAAAAACAAAAAAACCTGAAAGTCTGAGATCCATAGCACAAAACACATGGCATAAAAAATGGCATGAAAACCGACTGAACTGTTCAATGGCTGCCAAATCTTAAGGTAAGCAATCTGACAGAGAGGCGAGATTTTGAAACAGTAGTATGGTGTTTCGTAACTTCTAAAACAAGTTTCTCCAACTGCTGTTGTTGCAAAACAAAAATGAGGACCTGAAAATGAACTATCTTCTTAGCTGTGGTTACAAATATACCAACAATATAAATGTTGCGATAACAGTTTTGAGGCTTCAGAAGGCAAACTTGCATTTGTAGCAGAAAACAGATAAAATTGGAAAACATCCGATATAAAAAATACCAAAATCAGCAAAAACAGACAGCTTAGCCCCTTCTCACTTACAATTTCATACAGCTGTCTTGTTTCGGGCTCTGCCAGGGTCAACAAAGCCAACAAGGGGTAGCGTGACCGAGGCAATTGCCCAAAATCCGCTATTCCCAAGTCCGCAGGCAGCTGACAGTGCCTCTCCTCTGTGTCTTCCTTGTCAATACTGAGCTTGTAGTTAAGCACAAACAGCTTGAAGACAACAAAACATGAGATATTCTCAATTATCCATGGCGTCACAGAAATATTTTCAAAGTGTATCTTCATGTTAGTTTACATCATTTATAGTGAGATTGTTTAATGTCAGAGATCAAAAGAAAACAAACTACATGAAGTGTGACTTTTTTAACCCGAAATAATTCTATTTTTGTCTCTATATATACTGTACATACACAGTTCTCTCTATATATCCACAGTTTTTTGGTTTGGATTTCATTAACAAGTTGAACAAATTCAACACTTTTGAGCTCCCTCTGGCTTCCAGTACTCCACGACAAAACCTGTTTTGGTGTAGGATACAAGAAGGTCTGTGAATGCTGGTAATCGGAGCGCAGAGCTTCTTCGAACCTCTGAGGTGTGTTAATCCTCTGGCTTAACTGATGAGTCTGTAGTGCTGCCTCCAGGCCCTGAACAGTACAGCCCCAGTAACAACTAAGAACACAGTTCTCCAGGCATCTGGGCTTCAGACTTACTCCACCTGAAAACAGACAAGATACCGGTCATTCCTGGAACAGAAAAAATTAAACAGGAAAGGTTTAGTAAACCTGTAAAACTTTATCACGATAGTAAACGTTTCTGTTAGTGATATGATTTGTTTAGTTGCAGTGTAGTTTTCATGTAGTTTCCCACTTATGAGCACTAGTTCATGTTGCACTGTTGATACTGAAGAAGCTCACTGGGTTCATTTTGATAATTCAGTTCTAAATTTTATTCCAAGCAAAAGATACTTAATTTATCCAATTGTCCGAACAAGACTTAATTCTCAAATTAGTTTATTTCTCAATAAAGCTGTCTGTGAATATACTAAAATAATACACCAGCGGACTGACATCACATATCTATCAACACTGCTTCTGGATCAAAACAAAGCTATAGTATTATAACAGCTATACATGTTCATTGCTCTCTGCCTGAAATTACAAATAACTACCATTTTCTAAATAGTATAATATTCTTGACACGCCAATACAGTTCCAGAAAATGTGTCAATTCTTTCAAGAAGAACAAAAAATGTTCAGAATTTTGGCCACGTACAGATTCAAGTTCATATATGCAATTTTAAAATCAAATTAAGAACAGTGCTAGCTGTGGTCATTAGGAATAGATATTGTGGCTCTGCACATTATTAGATAGATTGTAATGAGAAACAATGAATGGATTAACATGTACTACTCAAATTAAAGAAAATATTGAATATCTGTTGGACTTCTTTTGAACCTCAGACAAAAATATCCAATTAAAACTTCTTACAAAACAGAAATAGAAAGATAAACAGCAAAATCAACTGATACACACCATAGTATGGAGTTTAAATGTTTCCTGTACCCACTGGAACTGACCAAAGAAAACCTAATGCCATGATTTAATTTCATTGCCAATTCACTACCTTTGATTTGACATCTTCACTAAGCAGTGAAGCCATAGAAATGTATGGTGCATGTTATTTAGAATTTAGGGTTAAGCTTGTCATTATAATTTTAAAGAAGTGACATTATCATTTTGGTATTGTTTGGTGTCTAAATACAGACCAAATTATGACTCATTTTATTATGCACCTTATGACCTCTCAAATCCACTGCTTTGTTTGTAAAACAGTTCATCCAGTGCCCCCTGCTGCATTTACACTCAGTTAAGCGACTAAATAGTATTAAAAATGCTCAATAAAAAGTCCCCTCTAAAGCGGTTGTGCTTTAACATGCCCCTACCTGTCACTGAAGAGGCTGTGCTGTCAATCTCTAGAGCAAATGGATTTTTCACCTCGACCATTCTCTTTTCAGGGATATTCGGGATGGAGTCTGTGTCGTCGGAGCTGCGTAAAATTACTGGCACGTCAAAACTAAACCTATTGCGAAAGAAAAACAAGACAAATGTTAAGAGCGGAAAAACATGTTCACACAGAGGACATTACAGCATAGCAGCGAAGAAAATAAAAATTTCAAAGTTCATAATTAGTGAATATGGAACCTCATCAGCACATACACCAGATATTACTCGTTTACTATTTCAATAATTATCAAGATGATGATGTAATACTCAAACACCTCATGACTAGGAGGATCTCAACGGGACGCGCTTAAGTCATCTTCAACAATAAGTATTAGCTGCATCAGTTTGCGGGACGATACAACTCTACAAAACATTTATTTTACCCTAGATGCTGCCTATTGTAGGATTCTACGTGATAACTCTATAATTTAAATGTTTTTATTTTTCATGTAAATAGGGTTGTCTAGCTAACAGCCAATCAGAATATGTGATTACGACATGCACTTTGTGGATTGTTTTTTTTATTAACGTTAAAAACGCTTGATAACAATTCTCAATAACGTGCTCCAATAAATCCTCCAAATTCACAAGCGCGAGGCAGCATCTGTAATATTTCTAGCTATCGAAGTGTACGTTTTTTTTAATCGGTGCGAGAGTAAACTTCCTTATTTTAAAACACTGCTGAAAAATATAGTACACCCAGATACCTACTAAAACATGAATGACTTACCAGCCCAGCACCATAGCTGCTGTGATTACAAAACACAGAGATACGACTGAGATGTAAAAAAGCGGAGAATATTCGTATAACATAACAAGAAATACAGCTGCCATGTCAAAGGCCGTAAAGACTCCACTGGAGTGCTGAACCATCACAACAAAGTCGTTCGGCATACATTATAGCTACGGTGGCCCGGAGGTCTCAAGAAAGGCAAAGCAGGGATTAAACTACTCGAAAAGCTGAACCAATTGAGATGCTTCAATCAAAAATGAACCAAATAACAAGGAAAACGTTGGTATTCAATCAATGAGAATGCATACAGAGAAAATAAATGAAAATAAATTAATACTGGTAGCTCATTTTAACTTCTTGTCTCTTTTGTTACGTAAGGATCCATCCATAATCAATAAACCGCTTACACTTGGAAAGTGGTTAGTAAGGGTCGAGGCCACTGGAAGGACCTATTCTATAATTAATCATAATTTCATACGCATTTAATAGATTAAAATCTATATAATCAAGTCATTTATTTTCCAAAAGAAGTTCATTTTAATTGCTTGCTTTAAAAAACACCAATAGATCTGACCCTTTTAGTTAAAACTTTTATCGAAATAGGTTATGGTTATGTTGAATGTATAGACTAATCTATAAAATCATGACACTGTGTATCTCTAATAATATAATGCAGTATATTGTTATAAATACAATACACGTTTTTTGAACAAAGCTGTAAAATTTCATATTCTTATAATGGAATTTCAAACACTTGTGTTTTTATACTAGAATTGCACTTACGTTGAGCATAGGGTTGCCATGCTAAATACACTCATTTTGCATCACCGTACAATGCTTAGCACTGCAGGACGTGTCGGCGGACTCATCTGTTGTTGAGTACTTCCCTACTTAAAAAATTACAGCAAACGACAATTAACACTAAGATTTATGTAAAGTTTATGGATAAATAGGAAGGCAGGAGTATACTTTCTGATATCACGCGTTTTTTTCTCGAGCAGAATGATCAGGAACAGTTTTTGCTCCATATTTTACATTTTACATTAGACTTATAATTTAGTAATTGTAGGTATATGTACAGGCGTTGCTATAAAATTGTATTCATTACATTTTGCGTTAATTACTTCTGATCGAACATTTAATGCTCGATCGGACCACTGCCCAGAAATATATAAGCATAATACTGAAACCGAGCGTAGTAGTAGTTTAATAACCAGCTAGAAAACCCACAGTTTATGGAAAGGCTTTCCAAGTTCCTTTTTGCCTTTAATGTAATATACTGTCTTTCCGTTTTCCACTAGTACTGAGTGCCTTCCTGCTGGTTTGCTATTTGAGTATCCTGACAGATCGTGAAATGTGGCTTTAATTAGTAGGAGGGGTGAAATCCAGGAATGTAGAAAGACACTTGTGCTCTTTTTCTGCCCTTCATGTAACATTTGTACTGAGCACTGTGCTGGTAGCGTTGATACCTGCCTTGCTCTCTCTCCCTCGTTCTCAACTGTTACCCGCCTGTTGTAATTAATGTTAGCTTCGCTTCTCGGAGGTCACTCGCTGCTTTTTCCACTGCATCTCGCAAACAGTTTTTTTTTATTTTTCCCTTTTGCTTTTTAGAACTATGCTGCCGCAATGTAAGATCGGAAAAACACAGATTTGCAGAACTACTTTTCTCTAAAGAGCTGTGACCAGGATATACATATATGTTGTAGGATTTACGATACGTACTTTTATACAGGTAAAATGGGTCTTTTATGGGTTTTCTGTAAAACTACCTTTTTCCTACATACTGTATTGTGTGCAAACTTTATGAACCATCGCCAGTAGATGGCCCTGTTACCTCAAAAGCAATCTGGAAGAATATTTGAGCCTTGCAATATTTTTTTAAATTGCTTAATTAATTGCTCATTACTTTTTTTAACATAAATTTCTCATTTTTTTTTCTGCATAGCTTTCTGATTACCCGCTGAATACCTTAAAAGCTAAAACGAAAAGCTTGTATACTTGTGTGTTATTGTTATGTTTTTTTGTACACTAGATGGAGACAAAAACCGTTTGAAAAAAAATCCCAGCTGGCTGCCTCTAACACATCAGTGTGGCCTAGTGATCTAAAGTATAAAAACGTTTGTACTGAGCTGCTTCCTGATATATTAGAGACATAGAACCTTGTTCATTTGTTTAATTGAACTGTAGTGCATCATCTGAATATGTAGCATTTGTTTGATTTGACTGAAAGGACCTGACTCGGCACACTTGGCTTTGGAGTGTGGACTAACCTTTTCTGCTTTTTTCTTTCTTGTGATATGTTTTCTTCCCCACTTGTTAGGGAACTCGAAAGGCGGGCAGGTTGCTGGGAATCTGATGCCAGGTGACTTCCTCTGTTCTCAATCAAACAGGCAACACTAGACCAGGAGTTCATTCTGCTGAATTCTGTGGCTAGTTTTTCACTCTGGAGGCTCCAAGCAGCAAAGGCCCTTGATCTGTTAACAGTGATCTATGTACTGTGGGGAAAAAGAGCTAATTATTTTCCCTCACTGGAATGTACTAAAATAAAGGTGTAAAGTGTAACACTCTCTCAGACAGCTCATGAGGAGAGGAGGTGCTAAATGAAGCAGCAAAAAAGTTTCAGGTGTTATTTTTAATTATTTTAATGTGCCCGAGGGTAAAGTTATAGCCCGGCTCTACCTCTGAGATGAGTTTCAGGTCAGATCTCAGCAGGCCCCATTCAATTATCTGAAAAAGAATTCATTTCCTGTCACGTCAGGCAGGAATGGTGGAACGGGTGGGCCAGCTAGCATGTGCTCCTGTCCTGCAGAGAGCGGCTATGAGCCACAGACACCAGGAGAGAGGCGAGAGGCTGGAAGGAGAAAGATGGGGAGAGAGGAGACACTAGGCTGAGCTGTATTCACGGACCTTTGGGAACTACCAGTTGGATCAGTGTTGTGAAGGAAAATATTACGTTTCCTCACGTTCACTCCTCAAGTGATTCATGATGAGTGTACGTTGGCAGTAGTGTCCATTTTTTGCAACTGAAGTCTATTAATATATTTAACTCTAGATACATGAAGCTTGAAATGCTACAGGTTTCCCCTGCTCTTTCTGTCACTTGTGATAGCCCTGATTATTTATCTAATTGATTTCACCATTGCATCTCATATTGAGACCTGATGCCATTTCTGTACTATATACTTATTTTGAAATTGTGTTTGTGTAAGAGGGTGCGATTCATTGTGTAGAATTATGGTCATGCAATCAGAGGAATAAAAGCAGGAAATTGTGGCACAACAATTGACCAGATCACTCTTAATTAGAGCACGTTTTAGCTATAGCATAAGGGATCTTTAAGCTGTGTGCATGACAATTTCTACTTTTTGTCTTGAATTAAAGCAGATAACTGCTGGCTAAGGAATTGTCAGGGTGTCTCTGCTTCGAGATTCTCAACTTATACTCATACGATTTATTGACCAATGATGTCACACTATAAAACATTCCTTTCTCAACAAAGAGACGTCATTTTAAGCCCATTCATGAGACTGGTTGTGCCTGTGCATTGGAAATTTCAGAGCTGGAAAGCAATTGTTGCCTAAACTAATTGTTTCATGCAAATTAAAGCAAGCAGGTGAAAGATTTGGAGTAAAGCCACAGTGCACAGGTCGCAGTAAAGCAGCACATGAGAAACACAAAACATGACTATGCCAGGGGTCTCGAACCCTGTCAGTGCAGAGATCCAGCATCTTCTGATCTAGATATCCACCCATCTTCCACTTCTGTGATTGAACTAGTTATTTGTTAATGGTTTATATTGATGATACCTACAGTATGAACCATGAAATAATTACTAGAAATCTCCCAGGCCAAGGGTGGAGAATGTCCAGTTTTAAGTGTATTATTTATTTCAAAGAAACCCCAGGTAATAATTCATCCATATATATATATATTTATAGATCGCAACAACAAAATTGTCCCACAATGGTTGATCTACATTTTCAGTAGAAACACTGCTTAAGTCATCCTGAAAAGCAGTGGGATTTACAAGGCTGAGGTCAAGCCCCTGACAATGAGCACTGTAGAAGACAAACTCCTTACTTTGTACACCTCCCAAGTCTGCCCTATAAAACCACAGTGGCTTGTGAGGGTTTGTGAATGATTATGAAACATGAAAACTATATCTGTGGGTCTACCCATCTGTACTCTGTGGTTTTGTGCTACAGGAAGACTGCCCGGCTGAAATGTGTTCACTATCCCCAGAGAAGTCAGTCAGGTGAGAGCTTATTCCATCTTCTCCTCATTTGGTACAGATTTGGAGTGAGGAAGGGAGGGTGATAGTGTACAATATGTCTTCTGTTGTTGAAGTAACATGTGAATGTGAGATTTGGCTTCCTCAGTCTAAACTTTCTTTACCCAAAGGGTTTGGGGAGTAGAGAACAAGCTACCCAGCCATGTTGTTGAAGTCGACGCCCTGGTTTCTTTCAAGAAGATGCTGGATGAAAGCCTGGGACCAATTGAGTGGCCTTCACCTGAAGAAGGCTTCACAGCCGAAATGTTGTGTTTTCTCTCTTCCCTTTTCAGCATGGAATAAACCTATTACTTGTTCCTTTGCAGACTCTGCATGCTGACGCAGCTACCCACCAGAACTAATTCATTGCTTTATCTTGGGTTCATTTTTTACTATACTTCACTGTACTTTTTCAGTGCCATACTACAACATGGATTCCCCACTAAATCTGAAGACTCTTTGCTGGAATCTGTCACTTTTCTGAACTCAAGTCTGATGAAGAACATCAGGGACTTATGGATGCCCCGTCTGGCTTAGAGGTTTAGAGGAACATACTCACGTAGAAGGGGCTATATTTTTCAATCTAGAGACTGTGCTATATTTTGTAGGCTTTATTCAATGCCTAGCAGACTTGAAAGTGTTTAATCACACATTAAGGAATTTAATTAATAAGCAAATAATAACAATTTGCTTTACAACAACAGAGCTAGTGACTATCTTCAAGTAAGTTGATAATTTGCTGCAGTTTTTCTTATGAAAGAAACCAAGCATTTGGAGTTGAAGAAAAACCAGACATCTTTCATTGTGATATTAACTTCATGACAAACAGTGATCTGACTGGACACTTCTAACAATGAAGACAAATTCTTCCTTACTATTAAGTTTGATAAAAAACACTATTTCAGTC